GTATTTGTACTTCGTTACTTCCCATCTCTGGCTAAGGGTGGCAATGGCCACCCCTGGCCCCCCATTTAGCTCCGCCCTTGGCTATAAGTGGAAATCATTATAATTAGGAGGATGTTTTTTCACTTTGGAGATTGAGTTTCAGTTCACAAAATAACTTCTAAATTATATTCGAATTTATTGAATATTATACTATAGTTGTTTTATTTTTTGCAGAGTGGATTATGAGAACTTTTTTGTGAATTTGGGCTTTTTAAATTAAATTAATCCTTTCATCTCCTTATTAAAGGCTATCTTATTGTAATCTTCGTCAGGAATTACATTAAAAAACTTCCCAGTTTGTTGTTTTTATATGTTCCTCATAGCAGCGTGGCATTCTGCGAACACATTAGTTGCAGATTTGAATACATCGTTTAATTAAACAACAAACTTAGACAGTTATCAAACCATTTCCTGTTGTATTTGTTTATAAACGAGCTAAAACCGGTTTTTTCCCCAAGTCTCGTTCCTCCACTTGTGTGTTTCTTTGTGAGGCCGTTTTTCAGCGAATAACACGAGCAGAGGGAGGAAGGCCGAGCCACCTGTCCTCTTCCTCCTCCTCTTCTTCCACAAAGTGCATCAACACTCGGCGAACATGGAGGCTGGGAGCGGACGGCCCGCCTGTGAGGTGGAGAACACAAGAACACAACTCCATCCATGGCGTGTGTGTGTGTGAGAGAGAGAGAAAAAGACTTTCTCTCCGTAGAGTTTCACTGAGTTTACATCCGGGTTTTTTCCCTAGGCAATGGGAGTCGCAGCACCGCCGTTCCTTAGGCAAAGTGAAATAAATTCGCCGCACCGACACATAAAGTAGTTCCCTCCCCCAACAACCTTTCGATCCGACTCCTTTTATTGATTCGACCTTATTAACGAACTTTGGGGTCGAACTAAGCCGGTATCAAACGCTTGGTGGTAGATTGGGGAGGTTTTTGTGGGCCGGCGTGTAGTTTTTGTGCCCCCTTCCTCCGGCTCGGTGGCGTAGGGATCTGTGTTGTGCTGAGGCTGAGCTGAATGAGATTGAAGAAGAGTTCTTCTTGTTTTGTAGCTTCAGTTTCTCTGTTTTTTAACGTCTTTTTTACTCCAACAACAGAACAAAGTGCAGTTCGGTGAGCAGGAGGCGGCCGGACTCCTGCTCAGCTGCGGCTCCATCGTATATCGGCAGTTGGGAGGAAAATATTTAATTAATCTGGAGGAGGACTGCTGCTGAGTAAGTGGGCTTTTTTTATTTCATAACTTTAATTCAGTCCAGTGTTGAAGTTGACGGGGCTGCAGACTGACCCCGAGGCTCCGAGCAGGTGTGTGAGCAGGTGTGTGAGCGGCCGCAGGGTGTGTGTTCCGGCTGGCTGTGTGTGTTTAGCTGCGGACCGAGGTTCTGGAGTTCTGGAGGACAAGGGGCCGACAGAACTTAGAGCCACCGACAGACGGCGGCTCTCCGTCGGGGTTTGTCCCGAAAAAACGGTGTGGTTCAGGAGTGCTGCTCATCTTCTCCCTCAGTTTTTCCTCCGGGTCTCCCAGGGAGGCTCCTCACGTCTCTTTGCGTGAAGTTATCCGCCTGCTGGCGCCGTTAGCCCGGGCAGCTAGCATGATAGTTAGCATTAGCAGCTAACGTTTATGGGGATGAAGTTGGCTTCTGGGTGATTGTTAGTAAAGGAGGATTCCGCTATTTTTAGGGAAAACTCAGCCCTGGAGACTGAACACAAAGAAAGTTAAAACATGGAACAAGTTATTACACAATCATTACACGATGCTTAAAGTATGTGATATAGTTTGTTAGTGTTTATTTGTTTTGGATAGAAAAGAGTAGAGCTTTTCTGGTTTTGGTAGATTACAAACTTCATGTATACTGGTAAAGTGCTGTTTTTAGTATATACTTATGCTTTATATGTCAAATTGTGTTGGGGTTCCTGGTCTTATTTGATTTAAATGGCAGAAAAAGATGTGATATCAGTATTTCTAGAGATATTTGAATAACTATAACTTGTGGAGTACATGTAATGCTGTGTTTTACCGAAGAGGATTATGGCCACTGGAGAAAATAAAAAAAGTTAACTGATTTTTATTTTTATTTTATTTCAGTATAATATGAGAAAAAAGTCAGAATTCTGACTTTAATCTCAGAATGAATTCTGACTTTAATCTCAGAATGAATTCTGACTTTTTTTCTCAGAATTATGGATCTTAATGTAGATGGGCACCCTGAAGGAAGAGATGTGGGAGCACTGAGCTTCACTGACAAAGATGTGAGTTGTTTGGGAGGGCCAGTGACACATTGGTGGAAAATTACGATTAGGCGACTTTTTACGTGATGCTATTTAACATAAGGATGATATTTAATTAATGGAAGGGTAGAAAGTGATTAAAATAAGAGAGCTACCATAGTCTTTAAAACAGACATGGCAACAGCTTGATGCTAACATGTTTGTTAGCTGTTAAAATTCAGTCAGAATTCAGAGATTAAAGTCAGAATTGAGAGAAAAAAGTCGGAATTCTGACTTTTTTCTGAGATAAAAAAAATCTGTTAACTTTTTAAAATGTTTTCAGTGGCCTTAATCCTCTTCCGTAGTGTTTTCTAAGATGTATAAACAGTAGGGTTGTCAAAAGTATTGATACTCAAAAAAGTATCGATACTGAAACGTTGTATCCGGATACAATACTCGTTTTCAAAGGTATCGATACAGAGCTACCACCAGTGGCACCTAAGCAGTCATTCATCTAAAGTGCAGAATAGAGGAAAATGCTCTTTCTGAACACTGTGATTGAATAATTCTCCGCACTTTTCAGTTTCAGACTTTTTTCTTTAACAGGTGCAGCTGCTGAGAATTATTTTTGTTTCTTAACCGGTTTGGCTAGCGTCATTGTTATGTGTGCAAAGCATAGCCAAGGAAGGAACACCTAATTTAAATTTTATACGTTTTTTATCAAGCTTGCTTAATATTGTGCACAGCAAACAACCTTTATTGTATTTTATTAATTAATGAAAATATTTCTGTAGAATTTTGGAGTCTTTGTTTTTATCCTTGTGGTATCGAAAATGGTATCGAGTATTGAATATTTTATTTAGTATCGGTATTGAGTTGAAAAGTTTAGTATCGTGACAACCCTAATAAACAGCAAAGAATAGTTATACCCACATCTGAGTGGTTTGGTAGTTTAATTTGTTTATTTTTCTTTTAATGAAATGCATCAATACTAGAAACGACATTTAAATGTAACTTTTAATTAAATAAAAAAGAACAACCCGTGTTTTAAAGTAATCAGGGGTTTAGTTATCATGTAGTGTAGGGTCTTTAAAAACAGCGGAATGCGCCTTTTGTCAATACTGCGATTCAGACACTAACTTCGGGCCGCATCCACTTGTTCTCGGTGAACGGTCGGTGCTTTCACACCGACAAAAAAAAAAAAAGAAGCGACAAAACATCGAAGCTCTAACTGAAACGTTGTCCTTCCCCGCTGCTGTGAGCCTGCCAGACAGCTCGCTGGCTCTGCCCAGCCCAGCTGCGGTCGGTTAGCAGCGGTTGGGTGAATCATTTCTCCCAGAGTGGAAAGAAAAGCGGAGTTTGTAGAGCTGCTTCAGGATCAACCCTCCATCTTAGCCTCACTTCTCGCTGTTTTCGGGCCTCTGCTGCTGCGGCGGCATGCGGGTTCATCGAAGTTTACATCCCGACAACTTCCCGACCCATTCCAAAGCAAACAGCCCAATATAACCGGATCCCGACCGGGACACCGAACCGGGAGCTTTCACTTTACTCCCCGCTGCCCCATCCCTCCGGACTGGGAATACCAGCCAATCTGAGGCTGCTGCTGCTGCTGGATTATAATCTTACAGCACATCATCACTTGGAATGAGACTAAAGATCTGCTCCTGAAATATAGATTAAAGAAAACTAAAAGATTTATACTAGAAGCTACTTTATGATTGTTTCCAAGTATTTTTCAGAGGATTCTGAACTTTATTCTGTTGTTTTTTCTGAGGATGACCCAGATTAACATTGGAAATCCTTCACACTAGTTAGTTGTGTTTTCATACTTAGATTAAGTGTAGTTTTTCTCTTTTAAATAAAAAAGTATGTAATATAAATCCATTAATTTATAAAATTTGTCTGATTTACTTTTAATTTACAAAAAATCTAGATTTACAGGTTTGTTATTTTCTAATAATATACGTTCTGAGAAAAAAACATATTTTTCTAATGATTTGGTGAAAATCTACCAAAGAAAACAGTCTGTTTCTTCAGGGTTCTACTTTATACTTACTATTTAGTTGGATTCTGGAAAGCAGAACTACTTAAAAGTACTCGCTGTAAAATTAGATGAATTACTTTTTGCTGAGAGTTTTCGGGTTTTCAAAGTCTAGATTTTATTAATTAAATGGAAAGTGTTATTATAGAATACATTTGTTTCCCAGTTTATTTTACTGGGCCGACTGGACTTTTTTCCTTTTTTTCTGCAGGTTTAAAGCTGTTTGTTGTGTTTTAATATATATTTTTTATTCTTTATTTTAAACTTTCTATCATATTTTAGACAATTAGTTCAAACTACTTAATTGGAGTCACAGAAATATTTAACTAAATGTGGGATTGTTCTGTTTGCAGTTTTGAGGTTCATACATTTTTATAAGGTTTAACAGAGTATTTAGCTTTGGATTTAAATAAAAACAGCAACGATTTAATTCAAAAACATTTAAAAGATACTCTTATAAAAAGCAGCATAGATTTCATTAATTAGAAAAACAGAAATACTTTATTTTCCTTCTTAAAAGTAAGCTGTATTTTTATTTCCATCAAAGTAAATATTTTACATTTTCAGATCTTGAAACTTCAGGTTCAGAAACAACAATTTCAAAATACCTGGTTGAACTACTTGTAAAAGTAAGTATTTTCTGTTTTTCTGTAAAATAAATGACAGTTTTTCATAGTTTTTAATCTTAATTTGCTTTTAGCTTCATTAAAACAGTTTGTTGTACTTTAGTACCGACACATTCTGTCAATCATTTGTATTAATATTGATTTATAAAAGTACTTTCCATTTCGGTACCAGCAGAGTTTTAGCATTGTGTTCATTTGAGACGCATTTAAAAACTTTAAAAAAGTCTTAAAAGATTGTAAACAAGTTTTTCTAACTTAGTACTTTTTATTTAAAGTACTGCTGAACGTTAAACAGAACTTTAATTTTCCTGCTCTTCAAACTAAATGTTGTAGTTTTTAAGGCCTGGAAGCTCGAGGTTTCAGAATGAGATATGATGTACTACTTCACTACTTGTAGCTGAAGTATTTTCACCTGGTATTACTTAATGTTTTGAATATTTTTCTGTTTATTGTTTAAACAGATTTTAAAAGGGTTCAATTAGGGCTGGGCGATAATTCAATAACGATATATATCGATCGATAGACGTTTGGCGCAATAGAAAAAAAGAGAGTCGATAAAAGAAACGCAGTTTTCCTTCCTTCTCATTGTAGCCTAGCATGTAGGTTTATGCTAGTCACTGCTTCCTCCCAACCAATCACAATCGCGGACCCAGGCACGCCGTCACCAAGCGCCGCCCTCTCAAACCACAACACAGAGCACATGAAGCTGTGCAGCAAGGAGAGGCGGAGGAAATTGTTCCAAAGAAGGGTTTTTGTAGTTCGGCAGTATTTCGGTTATGGCAAGTCGGACAAAAAACAAACCACAGTCATCTGGAAAATGTGTCGGGAACCAGTGAAAACCAAGTCTGATAAAACAACCAACTTTTTTTTATCATCTCAGCCGCTCACAGCCGCAGGAGTACGAGCTGTTTAGGCCCCGACGCCGCTCTGCATCGCCTCCGAGGAATCTTCGGGAATTTCGGGAAAATATATATATATATTCAGTTCTGGGCAGTTTCAGACGTAGTTCTAACAATTGAGAGAAAAATGCTGAGGGGCCAGAAACTTCAAAGTAATAACTCAGGTTAAAGCAGGAAACTAAGCTGAACCAGGTTCAGCTTAGAAGAATGGGGGCGGGGTTAATTTATTTATTAGTTATATTTATTTTGGTCACTTTTCTGGTCACTTTAGTTTATTCTTTGTCAGTATTTAATAACATAACTCAGGTCTCTTAAGTTATTTTTCTTTAACACAATTCTGTTATGGTTAAAAAAGGTCGTTAAATAAAGATTTAATTGGAAGTCTGTGTTTGAGTTCTTTATTAAAATTAAATCATTTAGCAATATTATAAAAAGTCCAGGCAGAGCTGCACATAAAATATGGTTTCAAATCTTTTCAATAATTATCGATATTGATCAATATGCATTTTTTTTTTATCGATAAGCTTTTTTTCTATATCGCCCAGCCCTAGGTTCAATATGTATTTGGTTATTTGTTAGCCAAGTACTAATAAAGTACTGAGTACGAGCCAGGCTATGACCTCCTTTATACCTTAGTTGTGTCTGTAAAGTACCAGAGTAGTTATAACTGTGTATACATCTGGAATACTTTTAAAACTGTCAGTTTCAGTAGTAATTTGTCCCTTACTATGTTGAACATTTTAAACATTCTGTTCTAAAAGTTTGAATTTATCACTTCATCTGCCAGGGAATTGTACTTTTTAACGACGTCTGTGTACCTCAGTACTACAAGTACTTCAGCAATCACAGGCTGATGTGAAACGGGTTTGAAGTACTGTTGAAAGAAAGGAACGGTTTCCTGCTGACTCAACAATAAAACTCCAACAAACGTCTCAAACATTTCAACCTTAAAGGTTTTCTCCTCTGGCTGAATGATCAGTTGACAGATTTATACGCAGGTTGTACAGTTTGTTGTAGTATTTTAGTAGTTTCTGACACTAAGTTTAGTTCTCTGTCAGACGAAGCGGGTCAGTGATGCTGGATCACTTTTTTTTTTTGGACTTTATTGATATTTTCCTCAGGTGTCAGAAGAATTTCGGGTATTTTAATCTGAGGTTTTTAGCTTTAGTAAAATCTCACACTTTTTAAAATTTGGTCAATTTTGAGAAATAAAATTTTGTATTGTTTCCCAAAGAGAAAAAACTCAGTTTTAAACAATTGGTAGAGTCAGAAACTTCTCCTCCTTCCTTTAAAGTACGGCTGGTTTTAAAGCAAACACCTGAGCTTCCTTCTAGTACTTCTACTTCTCTGTGGTGTCCTGTTTAACGTTTCCACACTGATCTGACTGCGTTTTCAGGTATTGCTTGGCTGGACGTTTCGCATGCAAATACTTCTCTAACTGTGTAGTTTATCCCGTAGTGAAATGAGATGGTTTCAGGATGGATGCGTTTTATTCTGGGCTCATATTTAGGAGTTTTCCTTCCTTTAGATCTTTGGCTTTACTCTCGTGTTTTCTAATATTTATTTAAAGTATCTGTGTGTGAAACTCATTATTAAACTGATTATGACAGTTTTCCCATCAGAAAGTATTTAACCCTCAACTATTAAGTTTTAATTTACATCTATAAAAGATTTGATCCATTTTAATACTTCTATTTTCTGCTACTTTAATTTGTTTGCCCATTTAGATGAAAGTACTGCAGGATGTTTTATTTATTTTTTTTAAGTTCTGCTGGTTCTGTAAGAACGTCAAAGTTCTAACTTCAAAAATAACAAGTTAGGTTCAGGACCCAGGTTAGCTTTGTTTGAAAACTTTCATTTGTTTTCATTTTAACTCCTTCTATTGGCAGCAGAAAATACGTAATGTAAAATAATAAAGTTAAAAGTACTTTATAGTTTGTTTGTTTTTTTGCTTTAAAATCGGTTCGATAACTTTTGATAAACGTTTTTAATTTGCTTCCGATTTGTAATCAATAACGTTTTTTCATTTAAGTTGTTTTTAATAGTTTTAAAGTAAATTTCAGTAGAGTTTAGTTTCTTTACGTCGGGGAGGAAAGTGCTGCTGCTGCTCTGTGTCTCGGTTTGCATGTTTTCCTCTTCGTCACATTAGCAGCTTTCAGGAAAAGCAAATCTTCCTGAAAGCTGCTTTTATTCTCATGTTTATATTTAGAACAGAAATATTGATGTCCAGTTTTAGGGTTGTGCTTTGCAATGTTTTATTTGTTCCTTACTTGTTTTCTGCATCTTCAAAGTCAAACTTTTTGCAGCATTTAGAAAAAGGTGCAGATTATTTTTTTCAACCGAATGTGGAAGAAAGTCGGCGTTAGTTTCCTTCAGACGGATAATTTTAGTCCTTCAATGAAGATCATGATGTTTGTCTCTGTAGCTCATTTTGGATTGAATAAACATCTACAGACATTTAATGTTCATTAAGTGTTACCATATATCAATAATTTATATATTTATGTAAATGATTTGTGTTATGATTTAAATATTGCTTGGTTTGAACTTTTTCCCCCTCATGTGATTCATTTTTTTTTAGATTAAAGTAACTTTAACGGATGTCTGATCAGTGGTTAGACTCCGAGTTTTAGTGTCACTATGCAGGATCTTCTGCAGCTCTGTTTGGAATCGAGCAGCCCTGTTAACGCTCACGTTAGCCAAGGAATGCCGAAGTCTGAGGAGATAAAAAGCCTCATATGTAGACTTAAAAAAACAAACAAACCCTGGAAACAGATTTTTACCTGTTGAGCTGCATCCTGCAGCGTCAGCTGATAACTTTGGTTTCTTCTTCACCGTAAATGTTTGACAAAAGATACATCCAGATGCATCGCTGCAGCAGCAACAGGTCTTTATGGCGTTTGGACCTGGGTGGGCCCCAGTCTGTCAGCACCACGGAGAGTGGTGGTTTCCAGTAAGCACAGACTTCTAGGCTCTGGTAGACTAGACTTTCTGGGCTGGTTTAGTCAGTTGAAAATCTAGATGTGCAGCAGAATATTGATAAAAAAAAATGTTTGATTTATGTGGTGCTGTGAGGAAGCAAAGTGCTTCTTTTGTTGTGTTTCTATGTTCAGAAAATATTCAAACATTCAGTTATTTACTCTCGGATCTACGGTAGACGATTAGGGACACAAAAAAATGCTACATATTATTTCAGTTTAATATGGGAAAAAAGTCAGAATTCTGACTTTTTTCTCAGACTTCTGACTTTTTTCTGAAGCAGACACACTAAAGTTAGAATTCTGAGAAAAGTCAGAATACTGACTTTTTCCCCCATATTAAACTAAAATAATATTTAAGAGTCAGTTAACGTTTTTATTTTTTCAGTGGCCATAATCCTCTTCCATACAGATCAATCTGCCTGACAACAGTTGTTAAATTAAAAACCTCTGGAGCCTCGAGTCACAAAGTTCAACCAGTAGATTCAGAACTAATGAACAGTTCTGAGGTTTTTCTTTCTCTAATTATTCAAACTGGCTCCAGTTTAGGTCCTTTAGTCTCTGTGATGAAGCCCTTTTCTCTGTACCTCAGCATTAATAACTAGTTTTTTAAAAACATTTCAGCGGTGAACCTGTCAGGTGGCTCAGAAACAAAGATGATCTCAGTGAGTCACGCTTCGTTTCTCTGTAAATGAAACTTTTCTTTAACCTGTGTTCGACCAGAAGGGGGCAATGTTTTTTTTATTTTTTTATTTTTATTTTATTTTTTATAGAAAACTGTTGATTTGGCTGTTTTTTTTGACAGTTTGTTTGTTGTGTTTTCCAGGGCAGCACAGAGGGGTGGAGTCCAGTCCAACAGCCAATTGGTGAGTCCAGTTTAATCACCATTAAAGATACTCTGCAGCCTTCAGTATTCCTTCAGCCTATACGTTTTAGAAGAGTTAATTGTTGATTGTTGTCTGCATCACTGTGGAAAGAAAAAGGCTCTAATCTTTAGACATGAACCTGTAGTTTACACCAAACCAGCCCTGAGAAAGTCAGCTAAAAAACTCAATACTTCAGCCTTTTATTACCATGAAAACTAAACATAACATTTCATTAACAGGCAGATAAAAGACGTAGATGTTCAGCTGAGAAATAAAAATGTCTCTGAGTTAAAATGGTTTCTTCTTTCTAAAAAAAAAAAGAAGAAAATTTTGTTCCATTATTGTTGCAATAAAGGAAATCGTTTGGTAGATAGAAATTTGATTAAAAA